CCATAACTTGTTACAAAACTATGTTCAGGTTGTGCGCAATCTTGGTGCACAAACTACGCAAGCACCAAATTTACTAGGAAACAAAATCAATAACTTTTAGGTATTTGTTGAGCCCAGCTTTGGGTCGCGACCCATATACAGTATATATATGGAAATACTGTCGAAACATACCCGTAAAATAAAGAGTACTATTTCAAAATACCCGTTTTTGTTGCAATTAACAATACAAGCCTGCTAATGTAGTCGCCAGTGGTTCAAGTGGATATACACCCGGTGGAGAACAGTCAATTATTTGTTAGCGAGAATTGTTATGCAGCGGGATGATCACGACGACGCAGTGAAAGATAATGATATTACGAGAACAAGAATGAGAAAATTGCTACATTTTATAGTATATCCCTGGGAAAAAATGTAGTTCATTCTTATGTTCCATGCCAATGCTTTTCAAACTACCAAAGACTCTCAAGTCTCAACACTTTTGCTTCTTCTCTTCTATAAAAATACATTGTTATTATATATTCGCATTTCCATCTGTTTGTTCGTGCTCCCAGATAACCGATCAGCGGCCTTCAAGGAGGACGGGGTCCCCTTTTAAGAAACCCTGTCATAAACTAAAAGAGGCGACCGTGCTTCTCGTGTCTGTTGTCATGCTGTCCCTGGAATTCAGCTACAACAAAAATTTCACGAAAAATGAATTTTTAAATTTTATGATTTTATTAATATTCTCAACAATGAATGATATACGGGTGGTAAAATGCCAAGTTATTCCAACAACATGATCATGTTTTGCAATTTACAACCAATATTTTGTATGTAACTTAGTTTGACAGAGCCCCAAGAGCTCTAACTACAAATATCAAAAATGTGAGGCCAAAAAAGTCACACTACAACATTGTCAAATGTGCTGTATTTACGATAGATAACAGGTTCACTAAAAAGATTTACATGAAAATAGGTAACATAAAGATCAATTCAGCAATATCTACTTGGTGATATGCATCTGTTGATGCTTTTATGTGTTTGTTTCGGAAGTTTAATAACAGAATTAACTGTGGTTGTTGGAGATGTTTTAAAAAAAGGTTGCATGGAAAAAAGTTTTCACAAAATGTCAAGGTTTGATAGTAGTAGAAAAATAGTAAAAATTTTCCCATGTTTTTTTTCATTTGATAACCACGCCACAGAACTCCTCCGATAAGTATACGCAGCGATTGCGTGAGGCAGAAATGCTAAGATGGGATTTCATCGCATTGCAAACCAATATTAGCAATTCTTATATATATTCGCGCATTCCCATCTGAACAGCGTGGAAAAGATTATACCCATCTACACACTTTAAGAACTATGTCAGATGAGCGTCATATTATCGAATATCAGTAAAGGAATGGTGCAATGGGAAAAGACATATAAGGCGGAACTTTCAGTAGTATGCAACCAAATAATCTTATTGTAGAATATACGAGTATATTAAAAAACATTTCGTAACGCCAACTGCAGTCCGAAACTTTTTGTCTCTGGCTGAGATTACACGCAGGAAAATGTGTGTCATGTACTAGTATTCAAAACGTTTGACTCAACTATGTTGGCATAACAGGTGCACATCTCGGTTTCGCATACGCATACCTTCTATCTTCACAAGGATATATTAATTTTGCCAAAGCCAATGCAGCACTACAAGGTTGCAGTTCTTCCAAAAGAAAACACGTTTCACATCTTTAGATACCAGTGGATGGTTTTACATGGCCTTGTTCGGAGTGAAAGACGAGGTCAAATATTCCAATCCAATTCAACTAATAAAATATTTCCCAAGTCCCTAAGCTTAAACTAGGAAAACGAAATGCGCGCGGCAACGCAAATGTAGTTTGAAGAGCGCAGTAGAAAGTGGCTAGATGCTATCGATGGATCTTGGGCTTGGCTTGTATTAGTGAAATAAACTACCATTTATTCTACTAAAATTGAATTTCTGACATTGTAAGGAGATCCAATGTTACTATGTATGCAAAACTAAACCATGTAGTTATGAAATAATTGTTTTTAACAAAAAGGCGCTACCGAAGCATTCGTACCAAGATGGCGCACAAACTGAACATTGTATGTTTACCAGATTAGGGTTCAGGATGTGCGTCATCTTAGACCAAATACTTTAAATCCACCTAAAAAAAATTGCTCAACATTATATACTCCACACCCACCTGGGTATCATATACATTATATTTAAACAATAAAAAAAAAACTTGATGTCCCAAAACAATGTTAAAGCCCGATTCTGCCGGACTATATGCTCATTGACGAAATTTAGTACTGTTCTTATCTTAAATATAGAAAAAATGCTATGATGTAAGAATCATTTTGTGGTAAACCTCTACATGTTGTTTGCAAATAATATTAGCCTACATAAAATTTCATGATGTCATAATGGTTCACAGCCGCTAATCGCTCGTGAATGACGCAAAGAATATCATAGAGACAACAACGACATTGGAATTCTTTCAATGAACAAGTGTTTGGTCATTGTCACTAAACTGTCAACAGACTGATCAAATCTATCATTACTCACGTAACAAGTAGTTTAATTCAAAAAGCATTACTATATATATATATATATATTAGTTTGTACGCGAGGCTGGGCTCGTTGATGAAATGTGAAAATGTTGGTACGTTTACAGAAACTCAAAAACGGCTATTGATTAAACATTAGAAATGTCTTGTAACAAGATGTAGATGTAATAACTTGCTATAGTATGAGCATCGATTAACTGCTACATGTTATTTGTGCATAACGATGTATAAAATTTTAGCTAGTTACCAAGTCATTCACCAATCAATGGTCGTTTTGGGTAAGCGTGAGGACACTACGAGCATAGTTCCACTGTTCAAAATAATCTAGCGGTGCTTTTTAAATTAAACAAAATGTAACGCGAGTAATGATTGTTTGCATCAAACATTAAATGGCTTATCGCTAGTTCACTACCAATGGCTAAACATTAGTTTATTGAAGATTAAGTTTTAATATCAATATTTCCACCAGCACATTCCTAATGTTAAGAACGATAATCTGTCGCGCGGCATTATACCAAGTTCGTAGAGTACTTGCTTATAAAATCTACTGATCGTACATGAACAGTGATTCTCAACGGCGGCTCTCAACTATTCTTCCTGTGACTATCATTACCCTTTAAAAATCAATCATTTTTCGTGGAAACTTTTATTAAAAATTAATCAATGAATGGAAATTGAGAGACTGAACATTTTATTTTGACGCCATAGTGTTTCTTTCCCAATATTTAGCCTACGTTTCAGTACACTGAGAGAGAGATTTATTATTTCGTCATTCAGAAAACAAGCAATGGTACAATAAAATATATACAAAATATGCAAGTTAATTCGGTATAGACTTGAGGGAGCGATACGACCATAATTAGGTCATCAAATTCAGCTCCCCTCAAATTCACTATTAAGATTCACAGTTGATAATATACACGAGCGTGAACTCGGGCTTTAAACTTGAAGGGTTGAAGTTGACAACAGGTCCAGATACCTCCTTTTGTGTCAAAATTCTGTTAATTGACATACCGCCGGAGATTGATTTTTTGAATGTTGATGCGTTTTTCATTGACTCGGTTACTGACAAATTGCTTTCCCATTTTGATTGACAAGAGCAGGTAAACTACACCGGAATGCCGAGTGCCATAGCAAAACTGAAGTTACTAGCATAAATCTCATCCCAATCTCCGATCATTTTCGTCTCATCTTACAAGTTGACCAATATGAGAAAGAATATTCCTGAACATAATAAATTAATGTTTGTGATTCAAATTTATTCATTGATTCCGAGATTGTGTTGTAAAGCAAAATGTAGAATAGTTACCACCAATTCGTTTCGCCAGTGCTTTATTTTCAGCTTCCATTTTCAGCCTCGATTAAATTTATTGCATCCCACATCACATCACTATGAACGCAAAAATTATGAGATTCAGGTGCTGCAAAACCATACAATAGATTTGGTAACTTCGTGATGCGGGAAAAATAGTTTATTTTCTAGTAGAAATTCACGGATTTGAACAGATATAAAACAGAGCAGTAAAAACGCATACGACCTTAACAGCAATCCAACTAGGAGTACATCATGCTGATATCATTGTTTTCAGTAATTACAAGCAGGCTATCCGTACACTGTGAAAAAAGTATTGTCAAACTGAAATAGATATCAATATGGAGCTACCGTGTTTCCCCGAAAATAAGAAAGTGTCTCATTTCAAAACACTAGGGCTCATTTTCGGGGGATGTCTTTTATTTTCATTTGTCAAAAACAAAATTACAAAGTACAGAATTAGGAGATTTACAAATATAAAATATATGAAACTGATATTCATTTACTTAAATGACACGGTTTTCTCTCTCACACGTTTTATATTAATCATTTAAAACGTGTAGATAAGATTTCTTGCTATCGACTAGGTAAAAAAAAACGTGGTATTGACTTGGTCCTATTTTAAGGGGAGGGCTTATATCAAAATTATTCTTAATATTGAGACTAGGTCTTGTTTTCAGGTTAGGTCTTATTTTCGGGGAAACACGAGTACTTGAGTATAGTTTTGTTGCCATTCTAATTTGCATTGTTTTTTATTCGGCTCCTTTCAACGTTAAGATTTGAATTTTGGTTCTGACACTAAAAAAGGTTGGAAACCACTGGTATATGAATATTACTTGAATGGCGTACATTTATACTGAGTTGGCAGTATTCGCATATGATACTGACTTTTCTATGAACATGCCACAAACGGCTGTATATGTATATTGAGTTGTTAATATAAGTCTATGACATTGGCTGTGTATGCCATTACTTGAATGGGTGTATTAATATGTGTCTATGTTATGGATAGTGACTCTAAATATACACAATAAGGCCAACTATAGCAACTTTATCGTTTACCAACACCATGGTCACGAAATCTAATATCAATACCTGGTTTATCCTCTGAAACCTAGAATATGCACTGATGTCCACATGTTTCAATATTGTTTATTATGAGATATGAAAGAACCAATAAAAATATCAATTCATTCACAGGAAATTTCACTGAAAATCAGTTGCACATAAACGAACAAATAATAAAACATGCGTTGCCGAATTTTGCTATAAATAAAGATTAATAAAACAATTAACAATACTCGAGAATTTATCACCAAAACATAGATAGATGATTAAACATCATCTATATATGTATTCTAGTTCGCAGATCACTCATTTTATTTGCCTAGTCGGAGTAGATACGATAATAAATTCAGTCAAAAGTTTTGAATTGTTCGTTTCGATGATATCGTTGTATATTTTATTTGAAAACTCCGGATTTGGCGGCAACTCCTCCTCTTGGTCCGATGTTCATTTTTCCTCCTGCTTGTCTCTTGTTTTTCGAGAATTTTCCCATGTATTCGTTCACTCGTTGACGAAGTTGGTTTATCTGAAAATATTATGAAAATTTTACATGGGCATTATTAAAAAAATAGAAAAAAACAAACATTTGTTGCCAGTGCTTACATCATATTTTTGTCGATCAATTCTTTGTTCAAAATCGTATTTTTCTTCTTCCAATGTGAAAAGCCAGTCCCACAACTCTTGTGCTTTTTCTTGAAGTCTGAAAAGAAGAATGATAATTGGTAACTGGTAGTTTTGAACAACTAATTTCATGTATATCAATATAAAGGGAAATACTTACTTATCGCTGTTCAAATGATCGATGTTCAGTGGTTTTCTTCGGTCAGCCAATATCTTCTTCTTCTTTTCACGATCTGTCTGTCTCTTGTTTGGTTTGTTCTTTTCGGCCTTCATTTTTAGTACAGCGTTAAATAAATTTTTCTTTTATCTTATTAAAACCATTATAACGAGCATTGAATAAACTTACTCTTGCCAAGTATCCACCGTAGTGAAGAGACATGTTTGCTATTGCTGCCTTTTTACGAGCTTCTTCTTCCACTCTTTTTTGTTCTTCTTCTTCTTCCTTTCTCTTTCTCTCTTCCTGGAATATGAAAAAATAATACGATAGATATAAGAAATATATTTTAAAATGAAAAACTGCAAAGAATGGCTCTTTTTTTTATCAATTCATTTTTAATTACTTGGATGATTCTACTTACCTTTTCGCGAGCCATTCTTTCTTTCTCTCGTTCTTGACGAATTCTCATTTGTTCCTCACGCTTCTCTTTTCGTTTTTCAATTCTTACTCGTAGTTGTTCAATATCTTCTTCGTCCTTCTTTCTCGTTTCAAAGTGGGCTTGGATGAGTCCCTGAAGCTCGCTAAGATCCTTGTCCATTCTTTTACGTTGGATATCCTCAAGATCAAGAACTTCTCCGTCGGGAATTTTTGGAGGTGCCATGGCAGGCATGGAAAATCTACAAATAAAAGTGATGGACAACGAATTAAATAGATTTCCTATATTTATCATAGTTCATTATATCACTATTTTTGGAAAGTTAGGTCTTTTGCATTTTAGAAATATGGATTTTCCGACAAATTATGGCAATAAACTGAAAATGGTATTGGCAAGTTTTCTGGTAAACTAGATTTTTAGAAAAATTCAACTTCAGCATGTTACAAAAACTATAACAAATCACACTAGCCAGCGAAAATGAAATTTGATCAAATCATAAAGCATTTTTTTACTTACTTTGGTGGCGCTGGTTTGTCATTTTTCTCTTCTGGTTTTGTTTCCTCGACCTTCTCAGGTTCGGGTTCAGCTTCCTCCTGCAATGTGAAATTTGAGTTAGTAGTTTTCAGTTTATATAAGGTACAATAATGAAAGTATGCAAATTATTGCTTATATATATAGTAAAAATAAACAAACGGCAATAACCTGAACTTCTTCTTGTTCTTCCTCTTCAACTTCTTCTACCTAAGAGTCAAATAACAAATTGAAATGTAGGAAATAAACAACTCGCAAGATGTTAATTAATATCGAAATTTACTGTTTAAATTATTTGGTTAAATATATTTGTCTGTGTGTCTATAAGTTATGAACGCATCAGCTCTAGAAAAAATTCTACAAATTTAAAAGAGCTCGCTTACCTCAGATTCGTATTCAGATTCGTGATCCGACATATTGAAAGGGTTAGGATATCTAAATAAAAAACAATTTGCTATGGTCACAGTTCACGGTTTCGCACATCGAAACAAAACCAACACAAAGCCTATATTTAATATATGAATCTTCATCCGAACTTTACTATGAATAGTAGTCTTAGTAGATATAGTCTTGAATATTACACTGACAAGCAAAGTAATGCATACCTTTTATTTACTGAAGAACGAATGTAAAATTGGAAGACACAAGTCGAGAGTGATTTGGAATACTGCCGTTAGTATTTTATAAGCGAGTTGATTCGCACCTTCTACTATGGAAGCGACAATGTGTTCGCTGATGGCTGAACTGAAAAACGTTCGCCGTACTCGTCGCTGTAAGTTATCACCTGAAGTGTGAACAGATGTCTTTTTCGAGGAGGTTTGCCGTCAGAAGCTTTTTTTACCAATTAAGCGCAAAAGACATAGGACAACGTTTTGGCGTTTTTAGAAAATTTCATTCACCTGATAAAATGACGATCCGTCCTATAGGTCTCATAATTGAGTAATTTGAAAAAATGGTCTACATCCCATATGACATGACATATTTATGGAAGTACAGAAAGTACATTGGTTTTGAATAATTTCTGAAGCATATGTCGTGTGTGTCTGTATAGTGTGGCTTGCGTATAGTTCTATTATGTTGACATAAACAAACAATTATATATATATATAGGATGTCAATATGAAACGTGCTACACAATTTTTCAGTTTTCAGCCATTGCCCCCACTTCTTTTTGGTAGTCGCTCATGCCCCTGGAACAATATCCAATGTCATTCAGGCATGGCATAAGGCACGATCCCTATTTTTTGTGGGTATGATAATAGCTTGTCAGTTATTTTTACCAGGTATAAAGAGGCATGGAAGGTATAATGTCACGTTATTGATCACGTGTTCTGACATGTTCTGCATCGCTCTTTGAGCAATCCATTTTTACGAGTCTTCCGCATAATTCTGAGCACCAACAACTTGGAAATTGTTCAACAATTTTAATTAAACGAAAATGTTTTGCTGATGTGTCTTAAAACGGGACATTTTGTGGTTTGCCATTGCGATGATCGAGTATTACATACGAAGCAACAATGTATTTCAATCATGTTATGTTGCAATACAGACAACGAATTCAACGAGATGCTTGAAAATATTAATTGAAGCACCATTAGGTATAATTTAATTTGTCACCAGGCAGTAAAAGAATGGCTAACGCGGCGCGGGAACAAAAAAATTATTTGTCGAATTTCTATTGGCTAACAACCGGCAACGCGTACCGGTAAAGTAGCATACGGCTGGCCCACTTCATGACGCAAAAATCAATAAATCCACGTTGTAATTATTGAAAAACACATGTTGGAGAGAAAATTATATTGAAATTGGTTGCTTCCTTGGCGAAGGAACATCAACGTATGTCATGGTATGCCTATGTTCAGTTTGTAAGTTTGAGAAGTAACGGATACTTTGCAGATTTGTCGTTTGAGAAATCACCATACACTGTTTGATAGAAAATAAATTTGAAGCATCTGTTAAATCAGGATGCAAATTTTTGCGTATTGTTAAAGATAAACTGCGGCCTTACAAAATTATAGACTTTGATAATATTGAGATTTTGGAGAGATAATATTTTTAAATTCGCTATAAGATCGCTTCATTTAGATCTTCATCTTATGTTTCTTGATATGATTCTATTGTTATTATTATTTTTTTCAGCTGTCAAACTATTTTTCAAAATGTATTCATTATTGTATTTATGCATTCAAAAAGCTTTTAATGAAAAATGCAATACTTATTGATAATTATCTGCGTTAAATATTTATTGAATCGCGCTGCCGGCGTCCCTATGCTTCAATGATCACGACAGATTGTATTTTATTTTGCGATAGTGATTGTCGAGAGTACACGTAGCCCAACATTTTACGATTTTGCGTTCGTGACGATTCTATTCTGTACTGTCGGTATGAAAGATGTAAACCGTGAATTATATTGGTTCGTGACGGTTTAGTAAGGTTTATTCCAAGACATATTTTCAGTTCCTCGGTTGGGGAGATGGTAACTTTCATGTTTTTGCCCAACGTAGGGGAAAACCCACGAAACGACTTTATTTTGAGGCATCTAGTTATGGTGCCAGATGAGCTTATCGTTTTGTCACCTGTCTTGTGGAATTTTTATAAACTGTATTAATCTCAATTTCAGAATAGATTTTTATATATTAAAATATTTATACATTGTATTGAAAATGGTGAAATCAATTATTCTCATCTCATTATTATTGGTGTTTACAATTTGTGATGCTGAGGAAACAAAATCTAAATGTGATGGATGCCGAGATCTTTCAAGGGGAATTTTAGATGTGAGTAACTCTTTTTTCCATTTTGCTATTAAATCACCAAGGCAAGCGTTTTAACGTTAAATTATATGGTCTAAAATAAGATGCAGACGTGAGACTGTAAGATGAAAGATGTGATAAATTGCTATGAATATGAAATGTCCCATAGCAGCATAGCTGAAACTCATAGGCCAAGTGTTTATTATTCTGTAATTACTGATTGCTTCCAACATCTGAGCATACGTAGGCTACATATTTAATTCTAGTAAATGAAATATAGACGAATATATATTAAATTTGTCTTTAAAGAACATTTTTTGAAATCCAGAATTGTTTTACCCCCTTATTCAGTTCAGCTTGATGCAGTTGTGTGAGTTATATTTAATAATTTCAGGGTCTGGATAAAACAAAAAAGAAGAATTTTGAAGGTGGCGATGTAGCATGGGAGGAGAAAAAGCTTGGAAAATATAAAACAAGTGAAACAAGATTGGTTGAAATATTAGACACATATGCTTGTAGCAAAAGCAATCATAGATGTAACACTATCTTAGAAGAAAAAGAAGAAAAAATTGAATATTGGTACAAAAACCTGTAAGACATCCTTTTTTATTTAAATTGTTTTTTATTGCAGCCTATGTTGGGCTTAATTAAATTTTTAGTAATTCGCTTGTAGTCTAGGTTAGCTATCGCCAATGGCGTGTATCCTATGAGGAATACAGCTGTCGTCATTTGTGTATTTTTATAAGCAAATATCTGAGATTCGAAACTATTTTTTCAGACAAGATGAGAAGCCATTGTTTGATTATCTCTGTGTTGAAGAAGCGCAAGGTATTTGATTCTATTGGTTTTAGGTATCTATTCTAATTTATAATCATAATTGAATCAAACTGTCGAGTATTGAGATTGGTTTATTGTTAATAAAAAATCTCAATGCTATTTTCGAATTGACTGCTAGTTCAGCTTTTTGCACTTCCGTGGTGTCATGATTACCAGTATATGCTTAAATTTAAGCAGCTTTATATGCAAAGAAAAAACTGTAATGTGCTCTATTTATTTGAATTCACTCTTAATAAGCTTTATTGATGCTTTAATAGGTATGTATATTCATAATTGACTCTTCTCAATGTTGAACATTTTTAATCCATGTCCAAGATGTTATTAATGCTGATGCATTTTTTTAGTTTGTTGTCCTGATGATACTTTTGGAGCAGATTGTGAAGGTATGTCTATAATATCTGTCATTTATCTATGTCCGACTGATAATCAGTCACTGGAAGCTTGTGAATCAAGTCCATTTTCTGGTTATGTTTGTTTATTCTAGAATTTCCCACAGATTTGATATTTTAAGCAAACTTCACTAGTAATAATAATATTGTTATAAATTAAAATGAGTGAACACTTTCTTCTATCATTCATACATAACGATGTTTTTCTTTTTAGATTGTCCGAAAGGTACATCCGACAAGGTTTGCTTTGGACGTGGAAAGTGTGAAGTGAGTAATATGAATATTTTTTTGTTATCAATTTTACTTTAGTTTTTATTTTGTTGCTTCCTAGTCAAAATCATTGATAATTCTATTGTAACTGGTTGATAATTTATGAAATGTTCAATATTTCCAGGGAGCTGGTGATCGAGAGGGATCAGGCAAATGTGTTTGTGATGATGGATATTCTGGTGAATTTTGCAGCGATTGTGGAGATCAACATTTTGAAACCTTTCGTAATGATACTTATACTATGTGTGCACGTAAGATTTTTTGTTTGTAATTGAAAAACATTTTGACATTTCATTGAATATTCAGGTATCATATTATTACTCTGAATTTGTCTCATTTTGTCAAATTTTTGCTTTTTAAAGCTCATTCAAGGGCAGACTTGTATAAAGAATATTACCTTTTTTGCAGATCATAAAAATAATTCTCGATCGAAGTAAAATTTTCAAGCAAACTAGGAATAGTGTGGCATGTTATTGAAATAGGTTTTGATGTCATTATCTAAAATGTTTATTCAATCAGTATTTGAACCGAAGTGAGTATTTCAGAAGTTGTTGCATCCTAATTGTAATTTTTTTGTTATATCTTTATTGCAGTATGTCACAACTCATGTAAAACATGCAAAGGTAATAAATCGACCGAATGTTCAACATGTATGGATGGATATAGATCAGAAGAAAATATTGATAATGAAGATGAATTAAAATGTGTTGATATAAATGAATGCGTTGAACAAGCAAACCTGTGTCCTGTTGGTACATACTGTGCGAATAATGAAGGATCATATTCTTGCGAAGGTATGTGTGCGATATTTTAAACTTTGGTTCATTATAGCTCTAAACTAAAAATATTTGTGTTGTGGACTGTGGGATCATGATGCTGTCGCATGGTGCGTAATCAGTCCTGTATGCATTTTATTTCACTGGATGCCTGCACCGAACTGCAATTCCATAAGTAAATTGGAAATCTTGCTATTTCAAAAAATTTTCACATGCATGCTTTGAGTTTTCGTTTGCGGCCAACTTATAGTACTCGCTGTAATGATTTTCAGTGATTGCGCAGAATAGTGTAAGATATACCATCATTGTTCCTGTAGAAAATTCCAAACCTTCATACCAAGAAAGTTATGTGTTGTGGCAAGCATTAACAGATCGTATCAACCTATTTTTGCCATTGTTTAGTCTTACATTTCCATCACCAATGCCATATTGCTAGTTACAAGTTATGAATAAATTATGCCCTGTCCTGCATTAATTATGATGACATCTGTCAGTATGTTTTGGACAATGCTCAAGACAGATTCTACTGTATTGATTGTTTTATTTAATCCTCTGTAAAATATAAAATGGAACATTTTTAAAGATATCATGTGACTTCGTCCATCCTCAGTATAAGATTATCTGAGCATTTATTATTCTAAAACACATTAAATGCCTTCAAACGAATATATACATTTAGAAAAGTTGATAAAAATATATGCAGCATTTCATCCTAATATCCAGTGAACACTTATATCATGTCAGATTATGTTAATCTATTCAGATATGCTAAAATTAGTGAATGATCAGCCTATCTACAATGCAGTCTTTTGGTATATACCTACATAAGGAAGTTTGTTCTTATATGTGGGGGTACATTTTTTCTTTTAAAAGTGCCATTTAATGACCTTTTTTCAGCATGGACCTGTCACCCATTCTGTATCAAATGTTATGGCCCACTACACACTAATTGTTTTTCCTGTCGTCCCGGACTGATTATGCGTCACCCATTTATCTGCCAAGGTTTTATCGCAGAACTTGTTGTTGTTTCTGTACTAACGTTTGTGTTGTACTCTGTTTCGTCTGCTGTTTGTAGAATATCTTAAGCTTTTTCTATTGCGTTTCAGTAAGTTATTTTTAAGTGATTATGTATTGACCTATTGAAAATTGAATATCTTCAAATATAACAATAACAACATACGATACAAAAGTTTTATTAATAATTTTTCATTTTGCAATTTTCTCACTTTGCATAGTTAGGCTTATTGAGATTTTGCTTGAAAATCAACACCCTTGTGTATTCTAACAAATGAGTCTGTAACATATTGTTCTGCATATAAAAAACAATAACCCTGCTTGCTCAAAGAAATTAATCCCTAGTGTAAATATCCTGGGATTAAATGATGTTTTGCATTTGTGTGAAAAATTGCATTTGTGCTGTCAAGATTTCACTATTTGCAGCATGTAACCCAGCGTGCTCTTCTTGTTTTGGACCTTCTTATCGACATTGCCACTCATGTAAACAAGGAATGATTATGAATTATCCATATTTATGTCAAGGTAAAATGAAAGCAAAACATTTTGAAATCCTCATTTCACTCCATCACATTTCATGACATCTCATCACTTCATGATATAGTTTCCTACAACAATAAATATTTACGGTGATGCATTTAAACTGCTTCATGGGTACTTGGTATTACTGCAGAACCGCATACAAAATTGTGATTATAAATTCATAATTAATTTGAGCACAGTTAACTTTCACACATCTGTTCAACCTTGAACATTTCACCTTGGAGTCTATATTCTTATTACCGGTATATATTATTATTTTTATTTGAAATTTTCTATTATGCCAAAAATCAAAAACTTTTCAAGCAGTGATATTGAGATAGTCCATGGAAAATACAAGTAATTATACAGAACTACGATATGCCATTTCCCACAATATGTAGGAAGATACTTGTAAATACTTGTCAATTTTGAAAGGAATGCTGAAATTCTACACATATTTTAAAGTAAAAGTTCTAAAAACTGATCATTAATAAAAAAAACTGTTGTAAGCAAATCACATTAAAATCTTTCAACTTAAATATCAAGGAATTTTGATGAATTCTTAGATATTGTAGAATCATTTCAAAGTATCGATACTGGCTAATGATGAATTTTATCATCATAGTTGAAAACTTCATAACACTTATGAATTTTTTGTCATCAAATGTTGATTGTTCATGTACTTGTGCATTGTTGTGGTCTGTCTTTTAGTGTTTCATCTGGGAAAATGATATCATTTTGTTCATTTGTGTGCATAGAATGGTTAATTCTTTAAACGTAATTGAAATTCTTAAAACGTCGCTGCTCGCCGGTATTCAAATGCCTTTCGGTTGTGTGCTTGTATAGCTTCCAAATGAAACTGACCTGAAAAAACATCCATCTCCTTGGAACATATAAATGGTGAAATTTCAGGCTTACAATAATTTTAAAACAGAAAAGTATGATTTTGCAAACAAGTGACATTTTTCCAGTAATTAATTAATTCCAAAAATGCACTTTATTTAAAACACATGTGTCTTGATAGTGTCATTCCTGCCTGTTTGTGCCCATGTTTTCCAAGATCTGTTACTCCTGAATTGACTGCTGATATTAATTCTCACACTGGCATACTAATGTTTCAAACAAAACTAACATATTTAGATATCTTAGAGTATGATCACTGTGATCATCATCATTATTTCCACAGCATTTGTAAACACGAAACAAAGGAAATTTAGTTGAAGACCAGTTCATAATTGACTTTGGAACGAAATTTCTATATCAGATATAAATAAATCAAGCCCCTTTCCAGTTAAGTTGCAAAAATCTGGATAGACTTGATTGCTCTTCAACTATATTTCCTTAACCTTATTTGTCGGTGTCTGATTTGGAGTATTGATAATATTTAGACATTGATGAATGTGCCAGTGGAGCAATCTGTCTTGGTATGTATGAAGTTTGTGTCAATACACTGGGACACTACAAGTGCGCATGTGCACGATATTTCAGGAGAGACCCCGTTTCTGGGCAGTGCCAGCCCGATCCCAACATATACTCAAGAATGGTACCACCTTCTGCTCCTAGCAAGGCAGCAGACAAGGGAAAGGCCGAAAAAGCAGATGAGGGTGAGATTGTAGTTGGAAACGAAGTAGAAGACTCGCTCAGTGATGATGATATAAAACGACTTGTAGTTGCTGTTGTTATATGCATCATCGGTACTGCTGCGGCGGGTGGGAATTTAATCTGGACCGCATTGTTCTTTTGTAGCATAATCGGTGCAGGCGTCTGGTGGGCATCAGATAAAACTGATGAGCTTGCCATGTCCATGATACCACAACCCCATCAAGAATTGTAGCTATTACGTAACCTTAAACTAACCAGCTATCAAATAATGATTTGATCTGGATACTCGGAGCACATGAGATCATTATGTGTTCTTCTGATTCAAATGGCTCACCCAAATCATTATGGACTCGTGTGATATTATATGTGTACCATGTGCTTTTTATTTATTATTTTGTTCAATTTCTATCAGAGTTGTTTCATTAATAGGCGAAATATCACTACTGATATCAACTATTAGGAAAAGAATAAAAATTCATTTAGTTTTATTGACATCCTACACATCTAATGTCCAACATATATGCTGGCTTCACTATACTTGATTGAATTAGGTCTATAACTTAGTTATTTCATCCATAGTTGCGCTGAATGACATTTGACTGCATATCATCCAAGATCCAACAATAATTATTTTGATGCAAAATTCCAAATTTGGTTGATATCCATCACAATATCATATTCTTGCCACTAATATTTGTCAATGAGGATTTGTCTGTATTGTACAACACCTATTTATTTTATTATGCAACCGTATTTTGTTTACTGAAAATTCAGCATTTTGACATCAACGTCACAAAATTTGTATATTCTCTTATTTATTTACTTAACATATTCATATACTACCAAATTACTGTATTTACCAAATTGATTGGAAATAGTTACAGTTTCTTAATTCACTGGCGTTTTACCCCTGTAAACATATACATTATGAATTGTCTGTATGTAAGATCATTGTTGAAATTGATATTAACATAAATCTGTTAGAGGTAGAACTGGTCTAGCCTGAACTGTTAGATATGTTGGAATAGGACTTGACCACGCCGTTCGTCCTGATTCTCTTTTAATTTTTCCACTCTGAAGTAAAATGTAGTCGCCCTTTATTCATACGAACGGTACTCGATAGTAAAGTCATGTATGCATCACTTGATACTTTTTTATCTCGCAGTTCTATTTATCACTTTTCTAATCGCTGTTATTATAAATAATTGGTCACTGTGATTTTGTGCACTTTAAATGTATGTATTACGTAGGCTTACGGACATCTGATAAAATCATACCTGGATAGCTTTGCGTTTTTTTTTTATCGAAATTCGGTCGTAATACTAGTATAATTATGGTCTTTCATAATTTTTTTCCTAATTTTCCAATGTAAAATTCCATGTTTATTAAAATTGTAATATATAAAAGATTTACTCCCCAAAATATACTCAAGAGTAGTATTCTTTGCTTCTATTATTTACTTAGTACAGACAATTCAATTGAAATTGTCTGAAAATTTTTTTCGTATTGTACAGCTATTAACATCCGTATTATTAATAACATATTTCCATGCTTAACATAGACTGGTGACCAGACGAGATGCAGTGGTTTGCCATATGGTTAGGTGTCTCATCGGCTACTCCCTACCCCGGTGAAAGTGAATATCCTATCCCAACAGCCTTGCATAACTTTTAGTTCGTAGTCAGTGATCGCGCTTGATATTTGCATCCAACCTTTGTTTATGATACGCAGAGAAAAAAGAAGAAACTCCAAAAGAGGAAGATGAAACTAAAAAAACTGAAGAAGATGGCGAGAAGAAAGAGTCCGAGGAAACAAAGGAAGAACTTTGAAACTGAAACGTAGTCATATACACTGCCGCCGACGACGGCTGATGAAGCGTCTTATTGACTTTTATAGGAAAGTTTATAATGTTCACTGTTTAAATATTCATAATTATGTATTGACCTATCATGCGATACAGGATCTTACACATCGACTGGACTATTATTGAGAAGTTCAAATCGCTTTTCTTAACTATTGATAATTCCTACAATTCAAGTGTAAGTCATGGATGCAAAGCGCACCACACGAGGCAGACTGAGCTTCAGTCGGGAAGCTGCTTCGATTTAACATGAAAAAAATCAATTTTCAATTTGGTCCTATTTATTTCGAAAATGTTTGGCATCGCTACTTCATGCGCCATGCTGCCATCCATGCTTTTAATTTGACATACAGTTTGGTTGAGTCTCTTTGTGAAGCATGCTTTATTTTCAGTTTTTGTGATTCCAATTTTTATCATTTGCGGTGTCTTAGTTCCTGGTGGAGGTTAGAGTTCGTGTTTCTTAGTTCAAAGTTCAATTAATCTAGCTAGAATTTTGCCACTGTTGAGGTAAATTGAATGCTCAATGGACGTGTTTTGCCAGCGACTGTATCGAATAGCATCTTTGACACTTAATTTCTAAGCATTATGCTAAACTGCTTCATTTGCCTATAGTTTGCCTAGTAGTTAATTTCTTGTAATCGTAAATATTATGAAGCTGTCTTCGAAATTATGTCGAATAAAATTGTTTGTGAACGAAAAAAGTTTTATTATTTGGTAGTGTAGCGGTTTTTCATTATTCAATTTTGTTGCGCCCCCCTGTGACGCGCCTTTTTGTTATCTATTTCAACATCTTGCTATCATTCTGGATAGCATCGTGATATGAAAATCGTTCACAATCGCCAAGTCACAATCAGTTGTTGATTATATATAGGGGCAGCTCGTTTCTCTGACAGTTCATCTTGCATTACGAACTATTTTTTCACAAAAGAAATTAAATTGGCAAACTGATTTAGTTTCGTTCAGAACAGCAGCTATTTATAGTCGATTAATGTACTACACTGATTCTCAAAATCTGTTACGAATATAAATGCACCTTATTTTGCAAGTATGAAAATTTATCCAAGTTTGTAAACATGATGAAAATATAAAGGTGATATATATATCCTGGTAACAAAGCCATTTCTGAACGATTTGAACTAACGTAACAAGCTGTCGGCGTTCCGCGCCATCTATTAACATCCCAATGTTAGTAGTCCCAGTGAAAGATGACAAGTTCCAACTTCTCTTCAGCTATTTCTCTTTACAAATTGGTTTCGCCATGGTTTGGTGAAGTAGTTTCTAAAAATACAATTTTTTTTATCCGTCCAGCGTGGAGCCTAGATAATTTTTATATGATAATGAGGGAATTACAACACAAATATTCGCTAAATTTCGAGCGCATAAATTTGTCTCAAAAACGCAACAGCGAAATCTCATATGTACGATTCAAGAAGTATCATTTAAACGCTTAACGCTCGGTCACATACATTCTCTCGAAATCTCAAGCACGGTCGCCATTGGATAAAATCACGGCCTGATCATCCAACTTTAACATTTGCCGCCGTCAGCCGCCTGGATCAGGCGAGCAGTTTTTGAATAGACTTGCCAGCGCACTCTGTCTTACTTTTTGTAGTCTCTGTTTTAAAATATGCGTCGTATATCAGCAATCTATGGATACATGAAATGCTCAAGTTACGTGTAGCCTAAAGCAGGGCTACTCAACTATTTTTACCGAAGATCCGCATACAAAACTTCAAAAATATTTGGGTCCGGACTTTCCAGAAATTATGTTTAAACACGCATTTCCTCGACAGACTAATGATTATTAGCTATATAAGATTGTTTATTATGGCGTTAGAGTTCTTTTCATATATATATTTAAACCTATAAAAGTGATTTTATAAAAGGAAACTTCAAAAGTGGGGCTAATGATCCAAAATAAAGAATTAGTCGGGGTCCGAATCGCATACCCAAAAGGTCCGGATTCGGACCGCGGTACGCCAGTCGAGTAGCCCTGGCCTAGGGAACTACTCGTGTAACGGACAATGGAATAGGGGATAGCCAAAAATACGGTAATTCTTTAATTTATGTTAGATGCATTGCGTTAACAGGCTAATTAATACTGTAATATGTTATCTGTACCAGTCCTTGTGTATACCGGTAGCTGTCTTCCAGTGGAGCAGTAACTGGTTCCGTCGAAGTAGGCATAAGTGAATGGGCGCTTTCATACCTATTTTGTGGATTATGTAGTCCAGGGTCGGCCAACCTTTTTGGCCGACGGGCCACATTTAGTTTACTTATAATTGCGCGGGCCACTTAACATGGTAATTATTTTCTAGTTTTGCTACTCTGACTAAAAGTTAATGAAAAAACAAACAAAACCCTCGCATCAAACTTTCTCAATAATATGAACAATAAAAAAATGAAGATACTGTAGAGTCAACAAAGGTATTTCTACGCGTAGATATTTTGGTGTGAAGTTTGGCAAAATTTCAATATTCGCTGAAATGGACGATGTAGCAATGCGAAGCCAATTTTTTTTATGACTGTCAAAAATTAGTGATCTCAAAGGGGATGCAAAGCGCAAAGCAATCCAAAGTTGTCAACTCATCAATATTTTGCTTCATTGCCAAAACATCAAGGATATCATGCATGCACATACCACGCCTAAACACACAGCATTGGCAATTATCATTTATGCCCCCAGCAGATTTGACCAAGTAATATTTGGTTGGTGCTACATTTGAACGAGAGATTACGTGATAAAATAAAAGAAGATTGTCTCACAGATGAGATAACGTTAAAGAGAGTAGTAGAAGACCCAAGTGTGTAAGCGACTATTTGAGTATCTATATCTTCCAGTTGGTTTCGATTCAAAATGGCACTCATTGCTCGTTTGAAAGGGCTAGCAGAGCGCCTTTCAGGAAAATGAACAATTTTTTTGTATCAAATCTTTATATTAACTACATCACTTGAAAAATCGAGGGCCATGCGTTGGACGACTCTGATGTAGTCTATACTCTATAGCAGCGTTTCCGAAACTTTTTCGGCCACGGAACACTTACACTTTTTATCTCGCCTCGCGGAACACTAAAAAATGAAAGGGTAAAATTGATAAAGAAAAACGGTGTAATGTAGCGGTTCCCAATGCGTTCGTCGTGGCGAGTTGCCAAATGCGCCGCAAAAACCAACAGAATTATGTTGAACATACCTAAAATATGATTGAATATTTTACATATTTCATTTATTATAAATGTTTTATTGTTTTTCAATTTGAATGCTGCGTATATGAATCAACAAATTCATTTTACCTTTCTATATCGTTTACTTTCTATACGTAGTGTTTGCCTAGATAGAAGTCTTTCTGCAACTTCGCGAACTGCAGTTTATTTATCTGAATCGAATTTAGCGAACATGAGTAATTTTTTCAGCATTCCAAAGTAAAATCAGACAGAGATGACGGAAGAAGAGTTGACCATTTGACTTATTCTTAAGACCTACCTGTTTGCCCATAGCAAAACCAAAAGGATTGCTGCAAACTTGATAATGAACTTAACAGTCAAAAAGCTAGGCCGACGGTTAACGAATATGCCCCTACCCTACCTTAGTTAGTCCGCTTTAGGCCAACGGTGACACGATATTGAACGGTCAGTTGGGCGACAACTTCACGATCCCTAGATCGCCATGGCGACCCATTTAGACGTATTTTTGATTTATTTTCCACGGAACACTCGGAAGACGCTCGCGGAACACAGTTTGGGAAACGCTGCTCTATAGTATACATATATATCAACTTGTCAACTTTAGCTGGAAAAGACGTGGCACATTCCGATTCAGAGATACAAGAGCAAAAGTACGGTACAAATAAATGTTTTTGCGAGTTTTCTTATGAATACTATGATTAGCTAGAAACAGAAATGGTATATTAATGTGATATTTGAGTCTGTTTTATTTTATTCTGGCTGTAATTGAGGAGAGACAAACACGCAGCTCTTTCTCAACGCCTCTCGATTTCTCGCGTTTTTTTTATACGCAACAGGAGTCCAGAAGGTCGGAGGTCGATTTGGAAATTAATAGAAACATTGAAAATTAGCAACAAAGCAATTTTTACTGTTTAATTTCGTCATAATCGCTACTTTTTTTTGCCCCCTGAACGTTTTCATATTACCGCCTTTGTTCTTGTGCGCAAGTATCAATTCTTGCCGATCGGCGGAGATCGAAGTTTCATATTTCAGTATAACTATATGCGTTCACATCGGCGACAGATGGTAATGACATTAAGGAGCGATTTTAAATTCCAACTTAATTTTATTCTGATTTTTTATCGACCCAATTTTAAGCGAATAATATTATCATTATCGAGCCCACATTTATTAAGACGATAATTGAGTTTCTTATGCTTCACACTGGTGTCAGTGTTATTTCCGAAATAAATCAATTAGATACTGTGATTAGATAAATCTGTGATTGCGTGAATCCTGAATCTTGATTTAAAAGCTGAAATAAAGGCATTTCTACGTGGTCATTAGGCGAGATGACGATAAACAATTTTGTGCCCAATTTTCTTTTGTGCCTAGTAGAAGGGAAGACGCTGATTAATATTAATCACCTCAAGTTTTAACGTTTTTTTTTTTAACAAAACAATACCGCGACCATTATCAGAGCTATAATCGTTACCTACAAATTCACAATTTTATTTACGGAATTTGCAAATTCAACACTTGACGATTTTGATGATGCCACGCCCTAATTATTACTACAAGAAAAGCCTAAAAATGCAACGAATGTAATCAACTCCGATGATGACTCCATTCATGGTCGAGTATAATGTTCACATTTTTGAAACATTATTTGATCAAGAATGGAATGGATCACTAAAAATACACGCCAAGATAAAGTCCATTAAAAGGGAATATGGCCTGTCATTTCTTATCTGGTTACAAGTTTTTATACCGACTTTCCAAAACTCTGACTCACCATTTTCAAATCGACGCTATTTATATTATTCGAATGACGTCATAATACTTCGAAAAAGCAATTTTTCGCGGAACACCTGGAGGTCTCTCGCGGAACACCAGTGTTCCGCGGAACACCGGTTGAAAATCACTGCTATATACCATAGGATTTCAGAGTGGTCCATGCGGGTCTCCTTAAGAGAAAGCGGTGGGCTCCGCGAGCTATTCGTATAGTTGTTGAAATACTGACTTTGCTAATTTTGTAACTGTAAGAAGAAGTAACTAACAGTTGAGGTTGCGTGAAACTAACTACCTTTCCTTGCTCCCTATGCCTTTGCGCAGGTGGATCCGTATGCCTATTACGCAAGGATGCTGTAGCAAGAGTGTAAATGGCTATTCTATTCAAATCAAGAGTCTTGCTGCACACGAACACAAATATATTTCTGTAACGTTTCGTCTTACCAAGGTCAGAGTAACAAGCTGTCGGTCTCGGTCAGACGAAACGTTACAGAAATATATTTAAGTTCGTGTGCAGCAAGACTCTTGAATTGAATGTAAGAAGAAGCATGAGAACCTCTGGTCTATAGGCTACCTAATGAAGTAACGGAATTTCCATCGAGTATTGCAAGCGCCAAGCAAGACTATTTTAACTTGAATTCATACCAAGGACGACAACCCGAACTGCCATCGATCAAAATTTTAGCCTTGTTAGTTTGCGTTCGCTCCAGTGTGTTAAAGAAGCTTGGCGAATGTCAATTTCTCAAGAGGAATGCACACTATCATACCTCCAATTTGGTGCGAAAAAATCTCTCGAATATTTACGATATCTATCTATTGAATGTCTTATTACCTAAAAAAATTAGTGCTCTACCAAAACGTTAAATGTTAACGAAGTTAAGCGAATGATTCTCTTGGTATTTTAAGACTTGAGATCCATGGACAGAACCGTCATTCCTAGTGACGCTACGGTGATTTATTGAAACATTTTGGTGCTCAAAATTTGCTACCTCAATAATTATCCACTCCACTTTCGTTCTAGTAACTCTAATTTAGATGACAATTGATCTCTAAACCGATTACAAATACATGTATATTCATGCCTAAATATTAATTAAGGTGAGGTTGATTAAATTCGATGTTACTTTTACAGCTCCAGTAGTAAGCTGTCCTCGTATTAAAATTGAAAAGAGCATAAGACACCCCACCTTCAACCCTTGTCGATCTAGTATCCCCAGATGCCATCGGTTGACTTGAATCGCTGTGTAGTTGAGTGCCCTTTTTGCCCTTCGCTTTGTCTGTAAGGTGAAAGATGAGTTTCTATGAATTCGGTATTAATTCTTATGATGTTATGTATCACAATGTTCCCAATTGCCGTGTATACATGATTTGCCGTATTCGCAGTAAATTTCATGCTTATTTTAAAATAATCGTGCAGCATCGGTGGCTGGACATAGTTTCACATGTACGTTTATTCGGAATGATCGGTCGACAGAAAGTTCTCCAAAGTTGCCTTATATATACAATGACTGTATAGTTTGACTACGAGACTTACCATGGATACAATGTCCCAGCGTATTTTTATATATCCAAGATCTGGCAGGGTGGGACTTTTCCCAAATGTAGTCCGGTGCATCGGAATATAAGAAAGGGTTCAGGGCACTGTTGATTGGAATAATGATCAAACTAACGGGAACGTACGCATCCTTTGATATAGGAACGCCTGAAATACCGAAATCAAATGTTAAGTTAAAAACTTATCTTGGCCTAGTTAACTTCAGTATTTTTCAATGAAGTTTGTGAGTCCATATGATACATGCCCGTAATCTCGTTGTTAATTAGGAAGTAATATTTAATTGCAGTTCAAAATAAGTATGTATGTGAGATTCAATCCACATACTTCACGAGGATGCTGAATTTCAAATTTGTTGTTTTTTTATTTATAACTTCTTTTATGGAAGATATGACTGGCTTTAACAAAACGTCAGATTAGTTTTAATTTGTCAAAAAGTTTTCATAATTGATGTTATTTCAAAATATTCAGTAAAAAAATTGAATTAACAATAATAGCGCAATAAATCCACCAAACATGATTTTCACTTACTACATAATATACGTGGTATTTCTGTCTGTTCACTCTCGTGAAGTGAATATGAAACCCTTCCTACTCTATGCATATATCCAGAGGAGGGATTCAGGGGGTTCTGTTGGGTTCGTATGAAATCGTTCTTGGAATATTTTGGTAATCATCGAACCCGTTGTTGTTTTAGACTTTAGACGAACGCAGCAAACAGTAACGTGCACCGCAGCTGGTGAGTAGCGTTATAGTTGACCCTCAATATCATGTATTAGATTTTCGAAAAGCGTGTCATGTTCAATGCAGTTCACGCAGTGAAATACATTATTAAATATGACGTTTAGGTTGTTCTGATGTTATGTTACGTCTTGTACTGATCAGAGACTCATTACAGTATAAGTTCAACAAATTGAAATGAAACCTGTAGTTTGTGAGGTCGAAACTGAAGAAAACCGATTCTTAAAATTTTATTATCTAGCTATATGCTATGCGGATGCCAAGAAAATGCGGCGTTGCTCGTTTTATGGAAAAATGCTATCTCACCAAAAACCTGTAAAAATCCCATCAGGCAAATTGGCATCCAACAAAGAAAATCAGTAACGACAATTCGAGTGACTTTTCTCTGCATTCGCCCAGCTCTTTCCGCCATTGTTTCATCACTTACAGCGAAATTCTTTTCTATCGCTTTTCTAAAACGATATAATCGAATTATAACCGGTATGATCTGCCTATTTTAAATAACAAAAATAAAGAATTATACCTGTATATTTTGATGTATCCAATCAAAATGAAGAAAAATGCGATGAAGTTTATGATAATGATGAAAAGCGAGTAAGGCCAAGCAGTGTCCAAATGGCGGTCAGGAAACAACGTGGGAAGGCAAACTCCGTGGGTTGAATAATATCCAAATCTTCGCTGAACCTTATATTCTGGATTCAAATCCTTGATCTGAGATTCCAACAACGACCATGTTCCAATCGCACTATTAAAAACAATACAATTTTATTCTCATATTTTTTGAAAAATCAATTTTGTTTTATTGGCGAGGCGTCGCTGATATCAGCTATTTGAGTCAGCATATCGACGCCTGAGCAACATCTTTCCAACCGAGAGTACGGAAGTATTGCAACGTTGCACCTGTATTGATAGATACTCTTCCACCTGCCACAATAAGTTAATAGAGGGCCTACCATATAACTTCGTTCCTAGCAATTGATTGACAATTATGTATATATATACTGCATATTATAAAATTGCTTCTTCGCAATATGACTGATAGCTTGTTTAAAACTTACTGCACAGTTGACTCGTCGTCATACTTCTCTTTAGGTATAAGCCATCGAGTCACACTTTTTGCGTCACTTCTGTCAATAGTTGAAAACAATGGATTTTTGTCGTACCTGAAATAGTTTAATTATTGTTGTAAAAGTTGATGACTCATTTGTCCTAAAACAGGTAATCGGGATACGATAGTATGTACAAATGAAACAGCAAAAATAGAGTAATATATAAATTCACACTCAAACGTGAAATCATCGTTGCTCAACTAATTGGCTCAACTAAAATTTTCATTAAATTCTGATGTAAAAAAAATGTTTTATATACAAAATCTATATTATCATTCAATATTAGACGACAATATTCAACTGTCACAAGTACGCTGTCACTCTTTCGAGTAATTAGTTTTTTTTATTTTTATTTTGTGTCAAATATAAACAATTATGTTTTTCTTACCAAATACTATCGACAAAAAAGTCCCGAGTGCCAACAGCAATAGGAATCAATCCAAGCAGTATTGAAAAAGTCCATGAAAATGCGATCATGAATAAAACCAATTTCATCGTTGTACTTTTTGCATAAGGACTGTTGAGAATCAAAAAGACATGATTGATCACGTAGCAATCACATAAGCCAGGTAGCGTTTTTTTTCATATTTGTCTCAGCTATTTATAGGTATATCTCATTTATTTTATACCTTAACACGTACCCCTTTCTATGTACAAGTCGATGGTGAATTGATCAAAGCAATGAAAATCTGAAACAATCTCCCCCGGAGTATGAGCCAAGCATAGGGATTTTAGGTTAGGGGTTTACTCTGAAAACAACTATATGGAACTGGCTGTATCACAGTTTTCATACGGGTTAAATATTCATCTAATTTCGCAGTATAATACTTTCTTAACTGTTAACTTGTTTTGTGCTAGCATCGTGGGTTTAAAACGCGAGTTTTTAATAGTCTCGAGGGTTTAAAAACCGAAAAATTGCCATGCATTTTACAGAAAAATGTTTTTTTTTTACATTTCAAAAGGCGGTTCCGCCCCTAAACCCCAATATTGACTATGTCCCTGTATATCAAAGGCATTTTTTGTAGTACGTTTAAAAATGAATAACACGTTGTCATTACCGGAGTACAGATTTCAATCGGTATCCTGTGATAATGGTCAGCGTGAATACAGAATTTTCTGATCCAATCAAAAGTAATGCTCCAAGACCAGAACATGTAGGCCCACTTCTCCATTCCCGGTCTGTACGACAGTAGCCTTTCGTTATTGTCGCATTCTTAATACACACCGATAGTGTATATATCTGTCAAGCAAAAGTTTTCGGTTAACATTTCACCAAAATACGGCATAGTCTATTACTTTTAACTGTGATTTGGGGGAGTTCAAATGTTTGTTCAAATTACTTCAAAAATATTATATGTAAAATACTATGCTATTCTACTTTTTAGTTTTTAAACTCAGCTGCCAAAGTTTGACGACACACGATGAAGCAACCCTTCGTTTGTAAGTATCTCAATAGGTTTCCAAAGTCAACAAATTCTATATTCATCAAATGATAGAGCCGTCACACAAAGCAATTGCGCGTTTCCGTTCACTTGGTTAGTAGTATTTTTTATTATTAATTTTTTCTTGATTATTTACTCACCCCTACGAGTAAATCTGATATCGACAGATTGAATATCAAGGTTTTATTGATTAATTCATTCTTCGAAAGTTGCCTTCTTGGAAAGAAAATATTACGGATGGATCTGCCAGCAACGATTAAATTTCCAACAAGTGCAACTAAACCTGCATGGATAAAAACAATATAGTGATTGTACATTTTAAGTATAATATGACTTGATGCTTTGATTTTTTATGGATTAATATTATCCCAGAAAAAATTCTCATGAAGATGTATACTGATATTTCTCCTTTATAATATATACCTATATTGTGAATATAAAATTCGTTGCTCCAAATGGCATAAGATGTTCCAGGCTGAACTGACAAAGGTTTTCTCCAAAACCAAACCCGAAGTTCTTGTCCGGTGATTACCCAACGATAAGAATTAAAGCGTCTCTTGAACATTTATTCTTGGTTCGGAACGAAAAATGCAGAATACAAAATAATTTATCACAATCCTTAACCTCACTTCGAAAAGAGATCAAGCTGTGTTGCGTGTTCAAATGACGTTGGCGTAAAAATTAGTAGTCCTATCAGTCTACTGACCCTACACAATATTTGTTGCTCTGAATCAGTAAAGATGTCCCAAGGTGACAACGTTTTGCCACAAACTCTTGTCTATCTGAACCCAAAATTCCCTGTCTGTGGATTATCTCAAATATGAATCAATTCTCACAGTCTTTTGAAAAGATATCTAGCAGTATATATATATACTTTATTCGAACAGCGATTACGTATTAAAAACGAACATGATATCGTGACTTCTCGTCATCAACAGAAGTTTCTTACTAACTTATTATGATAGTAATAAAGTTTTTAAGTAGGTCGCACCGATTGGAACGTTCGTTAATTACAATTCTATCTGTGGGATAATAATCTGAGAAAGAAATTATTTTGATTTGATAAGGTCGCACAAAAACATATTTCTGAAAACTTGACTTTGCTGCGAATCCATGACTATTATTATCATCCATGTCCATTGGACGTTAAAATAACTACCTATAATCATAACAGACAAGGAATCTTAAAAAATATAGAATAGCATATTTAACCACGAGAATAAGTCATTGCTTTTTTCATTTTAATAAATGTAATTGCTTACTGATAATCCAAGTCAATGCTACGAAGAGTTTATTACTGATCATCAAATCAGCATTAGAGAATACACTAGAAATACATTTTTCAAGGCATTCATCTCCTCCGCCAGCACAATCTTCGCTTCCATCGCAAACCTTATTATAACAAAGAAAATGTTATTTGTTGATAGAGCTTGGTTTGATATCTGACGCCAAGCCATCAGAACAGTGGTTCACAACCTTTTTTTGTTGTTGAATCACTTCCTTTTGCCAGTTTTGGAATTCGTTATCCTTCTCTGTGCATAAAACTACTTTATATATTCAATCTTTATAAGTCCTAAGCTATAGTGTTATGTACAAGGCGAACTCGGGCTTTTGTACAGTTCAAGTAGTTCATAATGTGGGCATAAAAGAGTATCATAGTGATAAAACTAAAAAATAATAGTAATACTACAGCACATACAAAGCATAATCAATCCCCAAAGTGACAAAACTCTTCTCGTGGAGGAATTCTCCCCAGTCAGGGAACGTTGCTTTTGTTGAATGTAATTCTGCAGAAACACTATTTAATTGGTAGCTATAATTTATAAATACTAAACACTTTAGGTAGTCTGTGGTTATCGAATAAATGAGGCATTTTATTTAATATCGTAGCTAAATATGATAAAAGGTTTTTATCGTCTATACTAGTGCAAACAAACGAACAAAACCTGTTGTGCTGCAATGAATTTTGGTTCCCCACTATCATTGCAGTAAAAATGTGTTTTATTGCCACACTTCATCTCATCACTCGAATCGTCACAGTCCTGAATTATGAAATAATAATAGTCATTTCATACGACTCAATAATAACACTTTGCTTTATTAATTATTTTACGTTTTCATGTATTATGTCGTGATAACGGTAACATCCTTCGAATTTATAACTAGTTAAATTTTGCAATATTTCAAACAGTTGAGATTAAATATTATACCTTTTGTCCGTTGCAAACTGTTGCGTTTGCTATATGTATTGTAGAACCGGATTCGCAATAATACCTGAACAAAAAATTGATTTGTGATAATGAATGTGTTTCCTGCATCCTGCGTCATAATGAGCAGCAGATAGTTTGTCCTCTGGTATATTTCTATGTCTCGCATAAAATTTTTAAGCCAAATTTTGAAAATGTCACGCATATGATCTCTTTATCGCAATTATAAAAAGTCTGAGTACGTACATTACACACCCAATCGTGTTCTCACAACTTATCAAAATTATGCTATCAATAAATTAGGAAACTATGACACCAACAAAAATAGATATCACTCCTCTTGACTTTTTTTTTCAGAAAACTTGAGACTGAAACATTTCCCGTTTTATTTTCGTCCCTATATTGGGTACAAATAATGGCGTATAAAAGCTGGACTCACAGTTGGGAATTATCTAAATAAAGATATATCAGTGGCCGCTGCCCGCTAGTATAGGGGCAAAAAGCTTGTGATTAAGGATTGAATAAAATAATTAATTAATAAAATAACTCACCTGCGTGTACAGCCATTTTCTTCTTCTCCATTTGGACAATCTTTAATTCCATTACAAATTTTAGATGCGTGAATTGTTTCTCCTGTTTACAATCATAGTCGTTTGCCCTGTTGATGCAACACAAAGGCAATGCTCAAATATATCGGAACACTAATTTGGCCACCGCAATGTCAGCGGAACTTTCGCTTAGGAATGCCATATAAATGTGTGCTCGTGGATTAATAAAACAAAAACAGTAAAATCTTGAGCAAAGGTCAGGCCCCATATAGCTTTAGTACACTACTTTTGATAAAAATGGGTATAAATATTGAGGGTACTGCAGAAAAGACTCCGTGATTTAATTATGTAGCTTAAATTATGAAGTCTGAAAAACAACGAGGTATTTAATTTCTTTAATTAAATATCTTGTGTGACACGCTATTTTGCCTAAAATTTCAATTTGAAAGGAACACTATATATTTCGTCACGCTTGACCGCGGATCATTTTGGCAAACTCGGTGCCATAAGGGTTAATGTACTTGTTACCAATCCGCATTGATATCTTATATTATTTAGTAAACGGAAAGAATAAGGAGATTTTCTCAGAATTGTAGAAGAAGCTTGAAAAGAGGTAAAAACATAGTAAATTTAAGTTTGGAAAGTGGTAATGTTTTACATAAAATGCTTTCTATAGCAAGTTTTCTGGTAGGATCTTACTAATGTTTGCATACCAACTAAGCCCTGAACAAAATTCCGGCCGTTCAGAACATTCGTTTACACATTCTTCCACCATTGACTGTCGACAAGTGAGTATACCGTCGCATCGCTTTGCCATTTTTGCTGGATGCAAAATAAGAAATAAAATTATGTTGTGAAAATTGAAAAGTTTTCGATTTATTTAATGAAAACTTAGGGAATGTTTTTTGAAATTTATATTAAAAGATATTCATGTTTTTTGTATGAGTTCGTCTAAGATAGTATTTTCAAACCTTGATCTAAACATTGGTAATCTTTTTCGCAGGTTTTCACTTCTTCAGCGTCCACTGATGAGCCTGAAACATAATGTATATTTTTGAAAAAAAAACTTTGCGCCAAGATAAAAAAAAAAGCATTTGCTGTATTATCAATATTTTCACAAGCTCCGGAGAAATTGGAGAAAACCTCATAATAGTGATGTCATAGAATCCCACAGCAATTTTTAACGAGGCGTCACATGTTTAAAGTGAACATACATATCTTCTATCATCTGAAGCACACACCGCGTTTAAAAAAAAGTTATGTTCTATTTAGCAGATGATCTAATCAGGCAGGTCTTGTCTATCTTTTTTGGTATTTTTTTTTCAAAGCCCATTCGGGCTGATAGAGTTCGAAAATGGCAGCCTTCGGCCGCACTTGTAATAGTAAGATGTTTCAAGTGATGTGTTTTTACCTGCACAACGATTTTCACAGTCTATTTCGTCCAAGGAGTCCTCACAATCTATGCTAATAAAAAATGAAATATATTTGAATTCATTCATTCATTAGAGAATTATTAATCATTGATTAAATTACAGCAACTTGGACAGAATGTGTTTAATGCTATGGAATATAATAGTCATTTTGTAATAGATACATGAGTAACACGACAATTTTAATGAGAAGAATTCAATATTTCCAGCACATTTGATGGGATTTAGTATGAAGTTTATAACAATGTAGACAAATAAAAATAGGTAAGGAAAAACTACTAATGAATATATCTGCAATTACTGCAAAAACCCATACTTGTTTCTTTTATTGAATTAGCTGACTCAAAAAGTTTTTTTTTTTTGCACGCCACGAGATCAACTGTGTAGCTAAATGCAATATATGCTTACTTACTTTTGATCACATATTTCTTTTGTAGTAATTACAGCTGAATCATTACCGGCACTGCATTCCCATTGCTGGGTAAGCGAATTTGCATTAGCTTTTCCTGGAGTAAAAAAACTTTATTACGATTGGCCAAAACACAGGCCCAACAGAGCATTAAATTAAAACTATGATTTAGGCCAAAAACGTGAAATAATTCAATTAAATATTTTGTTGTTGTCTTCATTAAGCACTAAATTTTTCATTGAGTATTTGAAATTCGAAACAAGGTTGATATACCATACAGGTATACGCTGACGGATGTCTTTTTCATAGTTCGAATGAAGTCAAATCTTTACTTATTCCGGTTGTGTGTGTGGTAATATCAATTTATATTGCGACTTAGAGAATCGGGAATTTAAAACCATGATTATATTCTAGTATCTCACCCCAGTTTACGTCAAAGCATATAGATGGTATATTTCCACTTTTTCTACAAATGCATTCGTCAGATAAATCAGGACAATGAAATATTCCATCGCACAAATATCCAAACTTGATTATAGTCGGATGATTGAGACAACGAAAACAATGCTCATTTAACTGCACATTTTCTAAATAAATGACTTGAATATTAATGAAAATTTTATTGATGATAAGAAATATACCAGAAAAATCAGAAAATGTGAAGTTTATGAAAATTTGTATAATCTCTGGAATATAGACCGTTTCAAAAAGTCACTGTTCTACGTTATCTAATGTAAAAAAACAGATAAGCTGATCTAATGTTTAATTTTTGTTCACATGCCAAAACAGACCGAATGGTGTACACTGTACAGTAATTTTATCTTTCAATTTCATGAGCGTAAGCACAAGTTTGTTGTAGTCACATAAAAGCATTATAATATCAATATGCTGTTCCACACAAAAAAATTGAATGTACGGGCTAGTAATTATATAATGGTTATTATTGACAACATTTTTATACTTGAAATTATGATTGTAATTTCGAGTTCCATATTGAAATTGATTTTATTTTATTAACTCATCGAAAACTTTATAAATATATATAAAAGATTCATTGCATCAATACGGACGACCCTCATATTTTGGTATAGATAGAGTTGGAGGTGTTGTTGAAAAAGTAGTTGAAGTTTAGTAAGTAAATTTAGTAGTAGTAAATTTGAAGTTTATATTTTAGTAAATTGTGTACCCTCAATTGCTGGTAGAATATGGAGGAGAAATTGTACTGGGTTAAGTATTCACAGCTGGTGGTTGTAACACCCATCATAGCTTTTAAAATACACATTCTTACGTTTTGGCAGCGACGGTGTCTCACTTTATCACATCTCGTTATTTAGGATAATTGCTAAATAAAAGTATTACCCACCTCCTTCTGTATTGTTGCACATGCATTCATCAACACCTGCAATATAAATGTAAAAAATATGAAATATTATTAAACAGAATATGATAAAAACAGATTTCGCATTACATCATATTCGAGAGGTTGCCCACGAAGAGTCAGAATCGGATAATTATTTATTTATGACTGTTCGTTGGAGTGTACTCCTATTGATCCAGCACTCAATATATGGTAGTTTTACCACTAACTTACCAATACTATTGTAGCCCAATATTTTGTTGACTTTTGATACAATTCAAGAAGTAAAACCGCCAAACTACAAGATACAAGACCTCTGACGAAATGTTTTAAAGTTACAAACGAACATCACAGAATAAATAGCGGCAAATGTCTTCATTTTTTGTTTTGCATGAGTGATGATACAAAATGCCTTTTAAAACATGCTTATTTTGTTCACCGAAGGTAAACCAGCCCCCTCGCCAACAGACGGCCTTTTCCTATTTCAGTGTATTGGGTTATGAAATGTTTCAACCGCTTTTTAGCAAAAAATACCCTTTCGAGTATATTCGTCGACAATCGCAATCAAGAGATAAATAGACTGAGGCTACCGTATCACGAATACTGTCAACTAAAATAGTAAGCAATGTATTATTTTTTTGTCAAAAGGAATAAAATTTAAACAAATAAATACTAAAACCGACAAAACAAACTTTTAAATTATTCATTGTTTATTAAGTGTTTAAAATGGTTCCAAATAAATTTTGTTTATAAAAGGATTGTCCATTACGCATTCAAATGAATTGTGCATTACATTAATACATAATTAAATAAGCGACATATGCAATTACGCCTTAATAAGCAGGAGTAAGAAATTGGAAAATTGCCAACTATAAAAATATAGTCTAGTCAACTGCTAAATGCAAAATGTCCGTTCCATAACTTTGCTAATATAATATGGACTAGGGCCAAAGAGGTAGCATCTATTGGGAGCAGCTGTCGTAATAAATGACCCAAATGCATATCAATAAACTAAATAAAGTACCAATAATAAACAACTTTCATGAATAATTTATAAAATTAGAATCTTCAATTACTCAGAATAGAGAGGCAGAGCTCAAATCAGAAAGAATGTTGCAAGACATCGCAAACATTATGATACCTCAATAATTTAATCTGATTCGAAATCCCTATTCAGAGTAGAGCATGCTCGTTAAATAATATTTTTTACAATGGTTTCAGCGAGAGATATTTGTTCAATTGCATGAAAATTTCTATTGCTGTCCTTCGTATTTAAAAAAAATTATCGTACCATCAACACAATGTCTTTTCCCATCACAGACATATTTTGTCGGCAACAAACATTTTTTATCGGAAATTTCAGCATCGAGTGCGTCGCACACTATCTCTCCATTCAGTTGTTGGTCGGTGTAAACCGTTTCATCACTGCCATCGCTGTTCCGAGAAAAAAAGTATATTAGTATAAATTAAATAGGTAATATATTTAAACATGCCGCGAAATAGCAGCCTATATCATAGCTACTAGCATCAGATGTTGTCTATTATAGGTGTTTACACAATTTCAGGTTTTTTTTGTAAATTTGACTTATTTTGTTAACAGTGTTGTTTTTCTATTTCCGTTCTCACTCGCAATCAGACTTTTCGTCGCAAAATAATGATGCTGGTATGCACTTCGATCCATCATGACAGGCATATTCGTTTGCGGCACATTCATTTCCTGCGTTGAAAAAAATTGTAACAAACGGTTAGCGATGATCAATATTTGCCATAGTGGCGCAAATCCAATAAGTTGCATGCAAGCATACACAAATAATAGGATCTCGATGTGATGTGGCAATAGCAAATTATGACGACACAGTACAGTCACTATTTCTGCTGGTTGATGGCTCATTGTGGAGTTTGATACAGTTTTTAGAATGGGATTTAAATATTTTATTTGCGATATTTCACTCACCCTTCTTGCAGATGGCTGGTTTTTTTGTGTTTGGTTTGTTTCTAACAAACATATTTTGTTTTCATCGCCTGTTCGACAGGGAATCCGTCTATTGAAGAAAATTTCTTTCCATAAGTTATTTCATCACTTCCATCACTGTAAAAACAACCAATATTTATTTCGAATTTTAAAAATTTCTCAAAATTCATAGAACTTGATATTTCAGACTGATCCATCATCCAAATATTTCATTAACCTAAATACTTACAGGCAATCCATCACCTTATTGCAAAATGTTGATGAAATGCACCCAGATCCGTCTAAGCATTGAATTCATCTTCGGTGCACGACATTCCTATAAAGCAATTATTATATTTATATAGCGGATTTACAATAATAGCATAAGTACGACTGTGGAGAGGAACTTCATTTAACTCGTAATTCGAACCATTTCAAAATTAGCTTCTGATCAGACTGAACTTTCTACTCGAAATTTGTTCCGCACTAAAAGGGGGTCGACTCTGACTTTAACTTCCGGAATAATAAAGTTGCAATGATGACAACTTTCATATACCAGAATCTATTGTTTTCCTATCAATATTTAGATTTCGGCTTTCTACCTACTGTATCAAGTAAATGTCTTTACTCCGAATTTTGGAAGTCTTAAATTTAACTGTGATTCCCTACTCCGGGGAATTCATGACACCCGACCAGGGAAACGAAAACAAAAGACACCGCTACCCGACTGTACTTTCATTTACAACAATAAACTCCAACCACAGATACCGTATCTGGCTTCAGTGCTAGAACAAAAAGAAAAATGATAAGTGTGCAAACCAGGTGAAAAGAATTGACAATTTACCCATAGCACATATTTGGTCTTTTTTCGATTTTTGTTGAAGTGGAAGAAGGCATATTCGATGGTAACTTCTAGATCCACGACATGGAGTGCCATCCGATTCGTTGTATGTCAAATCATTATATATAAGTTCATCACTATCGTCACTATAAAACAACCATTTTAACCACTTCGATATATTTTTATAGATGAAGGAAATAAATATTGATTAACGGTATGGATATCAGATTATAGAAAAGATTTGATTTTAGTTGTAGTAACGATTCGGGTTCTTCAAAATAAAAACGTCGATGGAGCAAGTTTCTTAGATATTTATACTTATCATGTAGTTTGAAACAATAAAACATAAAACAGATCAATAAGTACCTGCAGTCGGCTTCTCCATCACAAAACCACGACATTGGGATACACTCCTTGTTATCAGAGCACCGGAATTCGTTTTCTTTACAAAGTCCATCTGATATGAAATTAAAATATTTGACTTGGCACAATAAGCCAAAAGAGCAAAAAGAATAAAGGAATTCTTGTGCATTTTGCATACTTGCAAAATGAAACGACCTACCTTTCATACATAAAACAGCATGTTTTGGGGCGTTAATTTTATCAAGGAGACAAATTCCGAAATTAGTGTCTCCGCGACAGGGAACTCCGTCATCTGCCGTATGAACGTTCACATCAAACTGCACTTCGTCGCTACCATCCCTGGGTAATAATATAATTAATCATAACTATAATGCAAAACTAGTGTTTCCACTATATACTAACACTATAATTTGTTCCTTAAGTTCCTTAAAGAGTTTTTTTCGGAACAAGGCCAGCACTAAATTAACGAGGCTTTGGCATGTCAATAAATACGAGAAAACAACATTTATGAGTGAGCAAAATTTTCGCATGTTCGAATTTAAACAAATCAGGACTGACTGCTTAGATACATTTTGATAATTCAAGCATTCTGGGTCGGTTTAAAAACTTTTCGGTCTGAAACTAAAAATCGAACAATCCCAAACAAATGTCACCTGCAATCTTTCCATTCATCGCAAACTCTGTTTTTCTTCAAACATGCTGACCCATCCAAACATTCGAATTCATCAGCTGCACAAGTTGTTTCTACAAAATCAACAATCGTAAAAGAAAACAATCTAGGCAAACGTTGTACTGGATATTTATTGCTAGAAAGTTACAATGAAAAACGAGAGAGAATAATTCTTACAAGATGCCACCAATGTCGTAATGCACGTGATAGCAGGACATTTTTGATGTAACATGACCACTGATCTAGATTCTAGAATTCGTTAAGGTCGTGGCGATATGAATTGACAATGAAGTGACGCAAAATCTAAACCTTCAGTGACAGTTGAACTGCGCTTAACAAGACTTTTACCTCCGGTACAAAGCATTTCCTTTTTCTTTTGCTCGTGAAGAGGAAGTTTGCAAATATGAGACCACTGTCGACATGCAATCTCATCCTCGGAGGAAGTCAGGATCATTTCATCGCTTTTATCTCTGGATGCAAAAACCAAAATTATTTTTTGATCGCACGAGTAAAAAATAAACACTCACTCCAATA